CACAGTCGACTTCTCATGTCATAGATCGAAGCATCAGGTCGCTCCGAAACGCCGGTAACGTCTCTTGAGACTAAACTTCGTAATCTGGACGATAATATAAACGTTAATTCCTATGAAAATTTATACTGTATAGCTAGACGTCATTTTCCAGTTTCCTGATAAATAACACTCTATTTAGCTATCGGTGAATTTGAGGTTCCTTTGTATGGTGAAGTGGGGCGCCTAAGGCATGTAACCATCACACGTTTTCACCACATGAATATTGCCACGGATCGCACTCTGTCGCCTCACAGACCACGGACGCCATAACAGCAGTGCCCCCGTATCATCAATCACAATTATTAGAATCACAGTCTATTGTCACTCTATAGACAATCGTGTCGGATCGATTGTCCCTTCTCAGTTAGCCCTGTCCCTGTGGAGCTTTGTGCAGTTTGTGTGCTGAATTCTTGGAATTGTGCCGTGAGCAGGAACTCATTTCTGCCCTCATCTGACTCACTTCATGGAGCTGAGCCCTTCTTGAGGAGCCGGCAGTTGTGCAGCTACTCAAGAACTTCCCAACATTTTATTGAACCCTAATGTTCATTACCGTGTTCACGAGAGCCCTCCACTGGTCCCTGTCCTGAGTAATATCAATCCAGTTCATACCAATATTGTTGACCAACATACGTATTCATCTAATTAGTGTCCTCTTTCCTTCTGGCTTTCCCACAATGTCCTACATGCAAGACGCTTCTCACCCATACGTGCTACATGCCCTCCCCATCTTATCGTCATTGACTTGATCATTCTAATTATACTTGGAGAAAAGTACAAGTTATGAAGATCCTCATTATGCAGTTTTCTGCAACCTCCTGTCACTCCATCCCTCTTCGGTCCAAATGTCCACAGTAGTCTGTTATCAAACACCCTCGGTCTATGTTTCTCCCTCAATGTCAGAGACCAGGTTTCACACACATACAGACCCAAAATAGAGTATCAGTTTTAATATTCCACAAAATCTCTTTTTTTTTCTAGATTATCGTCTCACAGATGGCGGTGATTTTGTCAGCCTTGGGAGCTGGCCACCCTTTACCCCCAGGAAGATTCATGGTACTCCTTTCTGTCATTAGGTCAATTGAGAAAACCAATTACTTCATCGGGAATCGAACCCGCGACCTCCCGGCTTTTAGCCTAGTGCCTCAACCAACTATGCTACCGAAGCTGAAATAGCCAACGGTGAGATTTCCATTGAATTCTCGGCAGGTGTTGCGCTAGTAAGAATTAATGAACGTTCCCTATGGACTGTTGGTGCTGGTAATTCCGTCCCTGAATCGCCAGTCAACTTGTAATGCTTCGCTCTATACACAAATCAGATGCGGAATTTAATGCCCCCTTCTGTAGATATGACATTCTGTAACTCCATCTGTCTCCACAAGTATGACGTTGTCATTTCCGTTCAAGTGTTGCCTTGTAATTCAGGTGACATCTATGGACTAAATATGGAAACAGAACAGTGCGTTAATGAATCTCAAACTCTGACCTAAATCGAATTTGAAGTTGTCACAGCGGCGACTGTGAGTAATTCTAGCGCCATCTCTCTCAGCTTCGAGACCCCGTAGTGCCGGGTGTTATGAAAATGAACTGGAAATCGTTTGGAAGAAAACGGTCATGATCTAATCTTGCTGTTATCCCCAGAACTTTCCTGGAGTGATGAGTAAAACTACGAGAAACCTGTGAGGATAGCCGGTTACACCCAGATCAACCTTTCCGGTGACGCCGTATAGTCATGTATAAATTAAACGACGTTTTGGAGGAACTTACTACCTACATCTTCATCGTCATGAAGTAAGTTATACACAAAACAAATATGTAGCAAACATAAAAATAAATTGTAAGAGTTGAGGTTTTCACGGCGGTGACTATGAAGAAAGCAGACTGCTTTTACCGGTTCTCACGGTCTCTTCGCTTGCGGATTTCTTATATTTTTCCTTCTACCCTGAAGATGGAGGCGATACGTTCCTCCGAAACGTCGGTTATCACCACATATACATGGTGCCAAATCCCATAAGACTGCTTTCTTCATAAATATAAATTCACCGACGTTTCGGGGAGCCTACTGTTTCCAACTTCAGGGTAAAAGAGTAAGCTGAAGGAGAGAGCAGCGGGAAGCAAACAGCTAACAGAACCTATACCAGTTTTCTCTTGCCTTCTGTCATCTTTCCAGTTCTTCAGACATTTTCCTTTAAATGGCTGACACTACTGGCCTTCCCGCTAACTCCTGTTGCTTCTCTCTGGGCATATTTTGACTGACATTTCTGAAACAAATTTTTCTTGTGCGGCCTTGTTTGTTTGCTTCGTGCTGATTTCTTCTTTGACTTACACTTCGGTCCAGAAGATGGAGGCAGTGTTTTCTTCCGAAACGTTGGATAACTTATACCGGATGGCACAGCATCACAAGCTACAGGGGAGCACTCTTCATAAGTAGAGTGACAAGTCAAAGTCAAAGTCAAAGTCACATTGCGACTGACGGTCACTCAGTAAGTCTTGGTGTCGAGCCCCATCTGTGACTAATGACCAGATATTTATTACTGTTTGACAGTTACGGTCTTGTTTTTGTGGGGCGCCCTCTCTGACGAGACGACGTGTCTGCCTTTTGCATATGCTGCTTGCCCATGCCAGCGCCAGGTCCGAGTCCCTTGGGACTCGCGGCCATATTTTACTGTCTCAGATTTGAGACTTCCCTTTTCGTCGCCTCTTACGACTCGCAGGGTCACGGTGGAGGTATTCGACCCCGCCTCCACACGGGCCTCCTAGAGTAACAAGAATTTCTTCACCTATGTTCCTCTGATATGACACGGATCGCATAGAAAACAAAAATTAGTGATGACACAAGGACACACTGACAGCAAAATGATCTCATACGCAGACAGCAGGCTGATGTCATGACCCTCATTTTTACACTACTTTTCTTATTTTGCAAAATAAGTAAACTTACGCGAAAATCATGCTGTCTGTACAAGTATGTCCCACTCACAAACTTTTGCGTGATGGAGCCAGTCTTTATAAACCTCGTTATGTCTATCGTGACACCTGAGTCCATCTCAACGGCGTATTTCATAAATCCCTCCCATCAGCTTTGTGTCTGTTTGAGCATCTTCTTATAGTTACTAGGCAACGGCTCTGTATAAACGTTAACGCTGCAACGAATACACATGCAAAAATAGAAGAATTTTCGGATACGTTGTTTTCTATACAGTCCGTGTCGTATCAAGGAAAGTAGACGATTAGTTCTTCCCCGAAATTCTTGTTTCTAATTAAGAAATGTAGGGTATTGCTTCTCGCTGTACCAGCGCGTACCGCTCAGGGAACTGTTTCCTCCTTCTTCTATATTGGACATTTTGCCTGTACCTTCGCGTCATAACACAGTTCTCTGTCATTGGTTCCTGCGCACGAAATGTGATGAGGTGTGTTCCATTGTCAGGAATTCGCAGGCCTCTAGGCGACAAAGCGAATTCAATAAGATGTTCTCCAAGGTAGTTCACGTCGACCGAACCCAGATGGCTCTGATTGATTTCTTCTTTGTGCGCTGACACTATTCTCTGCCGAAGATTTGATTGCAAACGTGTATGAAGGCCTCTTCCCCGGATATGCCGTGGTTTTTCAAATTCTTCGAAGCCCGCCTAGGGTGTATTTTCGTAACAATAATCATTTTCAAACTTTATTCAGCTCCTAGGAGGGTTATGTATAATGAAACTTACATCAGTAAATGTAACAGTGCAGATCTCTTTCTGGGGCGGTTTGACCGTTTAAAACTCAGCGGTAAATATATATACCACCTGCTTTAAGAATACAAAATCAATGTTTTTTCAATAGAGTATATTTATAATTTTTGGTTGCTCCTTAAAATAAATAACGTCTATTTCTCCCCAAAATATGTTACCATTTTGTCTCAATTACAGAGACACTTCACAATTTATTGATTAGGCTGTTCCGGCCCCATCTGTGACTCTTATCAGTCTCTTTCCCTATCTTTCCACATACTTTGCCGTATATTTTGTAAGACAGTTTGTATAGGAACACAAGTTTCTGGCTGTTTTGCTATTGTTTGTTCCTTTTGTTTTGGCTCAACGAGAAATAAATAGACAAACTCCACTGAGCTGAGACCTCCTTGGGAAGCCTCCAGTCGCTCAGCTACTCAAAATTTCGCAAAACTTTAGGGAATCCGGGCGTTAATTATCCAGATATTGAAATTAAAACACACTTGACCCTCAAGGTGGGGGAGTCTCGGATCTGCGACAGTAGAATGTGGTCATGAGTCCCGACGGACTCGGACCTGTGAATGAGTGGGCTGGTGATGACCAGCAACAATTGTAAACGACAGACCCGTCCTCTCGTCAAAGAGGATGTTACACAAGGACTATAACCTCAAGTGTTCAGTTGGAAAATAAAATTGCTGATCGTGAGTCTGAAGAGGCTTGTCGCCAAGACGAGCTGATTGACGGTAAACCGTCAGTCGTAAAGCAACTTTCACTCTGACAGTTCTCTAAGGGGTTAACTACTGTGTAGATCAGTGGTTCTCAACCGTTTCGAGACCGAGGCCCGGTATAATTGATGCCGGTACCGGGCCGCGGCCCGGCGGTTGAGAAACACTGGTGTGGACCGCTATTAGTGTAATGATTGGCGAGTTCGATTTTAGGAATTTTCTTTAAAATTCCAGCATTCCTATCGGACGTTTGGTTACAAGTGTCGCCTCGTATTGTTTTTGCGGTTAAAACGTTGTAGCTTCATATTAGAAATTCATAAAAAATATATTAAATTGTTAGCATAAATATCTTTAAATAGTCGCCACTCAAATAAGACAAACTTGATGAAATTGATGAAGTGTGAAGTGGAACTGGGTTCGTAGGATTAGGTTCCCAGTAGTAGAACGCTCTTGAAAATAAAACACGGCTTGTTTTTTCATATTAGAATTTAATAATTCTCTTGAAGCATGAAATAAATATGAAACAGCAAGTAAATAAAACGCAAAACTATATCCTGCCAACACTAGTGTCCCTAGTATGCATAGCCGTTGTTACGCAACGATCGTGAGGTGGGCGGTTATACTAGACTACTTTTCTGGGCAGCGGTTCGGTAAACACGTTCTCGCGGTAATGGAAAACGGTTAGCATATGGGAACAAATAGTGTTTCCCACGCGGTCCTTGCCGAGGAGTTGCCAGCTAGGAAGGACGTGAGCGCGTGAACCTGAAGAATCTCCACTATTAGAAGCCGTTGCCAAGGAACGTCTGGTGAAGACACAGAAGGCTGGTAAAGGCTTTTCGGTGGAGCAATGATTTGTGGAGTGGGACAATTAACGATGGAGCTGTAATTACTTGTAGTTCCCAGATGTGTGGTGAAGTAGCCAATAAATCGAGTCACCAAATCGAGCCCCGTATTTAGTCACACACATACACATATGCAGCTTTAACACACTGCTAATGAGCTGTGTTCTTCAATGTAGTTCCACGGCCAGCCACACGTGACGAGTCGTGTTAACTGATGCTTCTACGCATGTGACTTTCCTTACCTGTGAAGAGTTCAGTCTTGTGCATTGTAGACTTTACTGACATTTTAAAGGAAGGTACTACTTCCGTCTTAAGGGTCACAGAGCGAGCCAAGCAATCAGCAAGATGCAAGCAGAGCAAGAGGGCAAATGTCGGTAAACTTCTACCAGACTACACCATGGCACATCCCAGAAGACAGTACATTTCATAATCATTGCTGTGAGAACCTCAAATCCAACTTCATCTTCTTTTCCGCCTCTCATAATTTTTAACAAATGCGGCCTGGAATAAAATGTTTGTTGATGTGTAGAGCATGGATATTTTGTCTACATCCCCCTGTTATGAGTTTGCTGAATACAATTATGTGATCTTGGGGTGAATGTACTTAAATCACCATCTCCCCTATGCATGTGTATGTGTGTTAGACCTAAACACCCAATCACAGATGTGTTTAAAGGGAAGCACATCTGTCTGCATTGCTACTTGACTCATTTCTCTGTTTCTTTGCAAGTAGACCTTGTGAACAGCAGAACAGCAACTGACAGATGCCTTCCTCCATGGCACAGCACAGGCAGTACAGACATCACAACACTGAAAGGCCCAAGTCCTAGAAATGTTGACTTCTACTTTATAACTACACTTACACATACGGGTACCAGACTTCTTAACTGGCAGCTTGGGACCCAAGTCAAGGCAGATTTTTGGATTTCCCGTATTTCTGGTCCTGCATGTACTTAAAATACAAGAAATCGTATGATAATCAAGAAACGTTTCTCTCTGATGTTGACTAATTAGTTCAAGCAATACTTTGTCCAAATCAGCGGTTTTGCGTCACATAAGGATCTTCAGATTTTCCGTAATTTGGGCACATTACTGTCGGCGCAATCAGCAGAGTAATTTCAGGGTCGAGACGCGACAGTAGATGATGTTGTAGCCTGTGATGACACGGTTCCCTTCCTGGTCAGTTCCATCCAGACTTTCTCCGTGCAGGAGAAAGACACGAAGATAAACAGGCCTTGAAGTGTGTTCAGGATCACGAACACATACCACATAACTGTTGAAAAAGGAACATATGAATAACATGAGTGTCATTTATAGACGTGCATCCCTGGAAGAAACGTGTAGTTGCGACGTTCAAGAGTTTGTTTAGTGTTTTACGGTAACTTGTTGCTGGACCTCGTCAGCACAGTGATACTTGGTTTCGGTCCACCTTCGAATCCCATGACCATATTTTTGTTCTTTTTAAGACTGTTTAAGTATTTTTAAATGGGGCCCCGGGTGAGGTGAAATAGTATGCAACAGAAATTTTAAAGGATTTTATCTCGTTTTACTTAAAAAGAAGACTACAGCGTGTGATTTTAACACGAAGTGAAACAGTGTAGCAGTTTTTAACACAGTTTTAGTAAAATATCTGTAACATAAAAACACCTGAAGATGGCCGTTTGGGGCCGAAACATGTAGTGTTGAAGTGTAGAATGTAAAAGTGTAGCAATTTTGACGGAAGATAAACAATGGACGCTAATTTGAACAATTGCAACGGAATGCTGAAATACAGAATCATAAATTTCGGATATTCTTTCAGAACGCGGGAAAGGTCAAACAATTTTGGAATGAATAACAGTAAGAAATAAAAGTTTCATTAATGGGGGAATTAAGAGGAGATTGAATTCGGGTAATGCTTACTACCATTCAGTCCAGAACTTTTTGTCTTCTCGTCTGCTATCTGAAAATCCAAAGATGAGAAGAAGAATACTGTAATTTTGTCTGTGGTTTTGTATGGGTTTAAAACTTTTCCTTTTCCATTAAGGGAGGAACATAGACTGAGGGTGTTTGAGAACAGCATGTTGAGGAGAATATTTGGACCGAAGAGAGATGAAGTGACAGGAGGTTGGAGAAAACTGCATAATGAGGAGCTTCATAACTTGTATAATTAGAATGATCACGTCAAGGAGGATGAGGTGGGCAGGTCATGTAGCACGAATGGGGGAGACGAGGAATGCGTGTAGGATATTGGTGGGAAAGCCAGTAGGAAGAACGAGACACATGTAAGGTAAGGTAAAGTTGCCCCTGTGCTTAACTAATTAAGCAATATGCCATGAAGGCGTATGGGCGTTTGGGAAGCGGACGCATAGATACATTTTCTTTACCTCGGCACTAGTTGGAGGTGAGTGTTCAGCCTCACACCCAGGCCGCTTTATCTCCAGGGAAAGAGCCCCCGATACCGTTGGATATGAGGTTTGGTGAACCCCAGAGCCGGTCTGGACGACGTGGAGAAGAGAAAATTCTTAACCCCAGCGGTTGATATGAGAAAGTGAAGGGTNGTGTTAAAAAAAATATATATATACACAATGTTTGTAATGCTCAATATATACAAAATCCGAAGTTTTCACAACTACAGCGGTTGTTTTGGTATATTAAAGTTTTTTTAAAACTTTTGTTATTTAGGTTAAAATTTATAAACCAAATAGGTTCGTGTCCCTTCTCTTATCGCCTTTCTTGACGGGGGCCGAACTTGTGCCGCCTGTCTTTCTTGAGAAGGAGGTTCTCTGATATCGTCCTGTGTTTGTTCGGGACACGAACCTGTTTCGTTTATAAATTTTAACCTATATAACAAAAGTTTAAAAAAACTTTAATATACCAAAATAACTGCTGTAGTTGTGAAAACTTTGGATTTTGTATACACGTATATTGTGCATTACAAACATTGTATGTGTATATATTTTAACAATTCAGAAGAACACCCATTGTAATAGTGGTTTCCAAGGAGTATCGATGTCCCTCTGAAGACGGTCTATAGGGACCGAAACTTGTAAGGGTGTTAAGAATTGAAGTAGTAAAAACTTCATCAGTCACACTGGACGGAGTTGTTTTATCTTTTATAATATTGTTAGTGTGACGGACAAGAATGAAACAAATCAAATTTCATAAAATGTTGGGAAATTCTTGAGTGCTGAACGACTGGGGCTTCTCAAGAACGAGCCAGCTCCCTTTGTGCACATTCACATTTTTCTCGCAGAAGCACATTACAGTCATGTTAATGGGTGCCCAGAAGTGAGATATAATCACTTCGGCATAGAACTCTTCGTACATTACCGGGGATATTCAGAGTTGTGGCGACTAAGCCAGTGATCCAGGTTAGTCCCATGATGACAGAGAGTCTGACGAACAGGCATAATTGTGTCCTTGCGGTCGATCTATTTTCCATCCTCGACTTGGTCGAATAGATCAGGTAGGCGGTCCAGGTGAAGAAAGCAACGTTCAGGGTCATGACGATGCCGAGTGGGGCCACTACGAACCCCAGAACGTGGCGTCCTTCACTGAACCAGCAGCCACGCAGGTGGTGACTTGGGCTGAAGTTGTCCAGGCTGAAGAAGAACGTGATGATGAGGATGGGCCCGACCCATCCGAACGCGCTGTACACAGCGAAGCGCTTCCATTTCGTACCTGTGGCACGGGAAGTTATATGCACGGTACTGAAATCGCAGTTTGCAGGAAGTAGTTCCTTACTGGGAGATATGTACGGTATGTTTCATGTTTCCGATGTGTTGGAGGAATGTCTTTGTTTTGTTCCGTCACCACGGCAAGAAATATGGATGCAGTGTACATGGATCGGTTTCACAGCCACCACATCCAGGGAGCACGAGGAATGAGTAGACGCACTCGCATTTCCACAACCCAACAAACACATACCTACACTGCACCCACACAAGGCATTAGGAAAGCTTTCACATACACTTAGTTTAACAATTAATGTTTCTTCTTACATGTGAATACGCGTATTTGTGTATAACAACCTTACACATAACCAAGAAGCTGGCACTCCAAAATGTAAGCACTGACCCGTGTAGGAACACAGGCAGACGAACAGAGGTGAGCGCAAGAAGTACTCAAGTGCCTGTTGGTGGCTCAGTGAACAGAAACATGTTTGGTGCCTCAACATTTCCTGCTGCTGTGATGGAACAGAATGAAAGGGAAACTGGTAGCTTATACAATCTCTGTGATGCATCAGGAATAGTGATTACATATGCAACCATCAGCGTAGTAACTCCATTTTGTCAATTCAGCACTCCCTCGCCAATTGTGATAAGGTTATTTGTGTACGCTCAAAGCAAAATCGTTGTCTCCCGCAGGACAAGAGACAGTTACTGGGGGCGGGGCTGTGAGAGCGGGTTTGAGAGTGTCGCGGTTGTAATTTCATTACATTTAAGTCTTTTTTTATATCAAACACGTTATTGCGTGTAGTATTAGTATGTTTAGTGGAGTAATAGTTAACCTCATGAGATTGAATTTGAGGTTCTCAGAGCGGTGACTACGACCCTACATTTTGAAATTTCCCAAACGCCTGTGAAATTATTCCGAACTACACGACGTTGTGACAGTGATTCCTTGACATGGCCAATGCCGAGCGCGATTCTCCTATCCCGCTGTCCCAGATAAGGCCTTGAATTCACCTAACGCGTTCTTTCTCTGGAAAGCATTGCCAGCCGTTTCGGAATGGTTACTATAATTGTGATGTGGCAGAATCCCATTAAGAGTCTCTTTGCTAATTAATTTACGCATGCGCTGCTTGAGCTTCCGCGTCTCACCTGAAGATAACTGAAGCTTCTTTGTTGACCTCCTGATGGCATTCCACACGTCGAAGGATATGACGAGCAGCCAGCAGTAGTTGGCCAGCAGACTGTAGTATCTTACGACAGCCAACTCCACACACGGAAGGTCGTCCACTACTCTCGTCACTAGGAAACTGCAGTAGAAAAGCAACAGGGCCACGCAGAGCGAAGCAAGGTTCATGGCCGGAAGGTTCCTTAGCCGCGGAGTGCCTGAGGAAATCGCCAGGTGCAACACGAGGCAAGCCACCGACACAGAGAGGCCCACAAGCGTGATGTACTCCATGATGACGTCCTCTTTATCCTCTGTTTGAAAAGAAATCTGTTAATATTGAATTCATGGCAGTTGTAGGGATCAGACTGTTCAAAACGAGGAAGCCTAGCAGCTGTGACTAGCTGAGCGTAACGCTGCTCAGAAATAAATCTCTCCCTGCCTGAGTTGTTGATGACGGAGTGTGCCGAGTGTGCAACACTGACAGAGGTGAATAGGCTGGCTTAGAAGCAGGGCTGTAGACTTGTGTTTGGGATGTGCTCGGTTCGAATAAGGGCCGGAACACTGGCTGAACTGATTGAGGATTTCTGTTGTTTTCTTCAGTCCCTCCAAACGAATTCTAGGATCCTGCCGTCCGGCTCTATGTAAATTCCTACTGAAAGAACGACGTTAAATAACCAAGTGGAAACACTACCGACTTTAGAGTACTGCTTAAATTCGAGCCCTGAGGCTGTTTACTGTCGTTCATAGCGACTTGCTGCGGGCTGCAAGACTGAAGGGTCGGAATTTCAGTCCCAAGACGGGAAAAATTTCCAATTCTCCCCTCGTCCACACCGGTTCTAGGGTCCACCCAGGCTCCTATCCAATGGGTACCGGGGGCTCTTTGCCCGGGAGTAAAGGGACCGGGGCGTGAAGCTGACCACTCACCTCCAACCAGTGCCGATGTCAAGAAAATCTGGATCTATACCTGTACCATCCATACGCCTTAATGGCGCAGTGCTTAATTAGTTAAGCACAGGGTCAACTTTACCTTTACCTCTTTTTACAGGACGTGCTGCCCTTCTTTGTGTGTTTAGAATTAGATGTGTGTGGAATAACAGTTGTGAGGGCGTGAGATTTTGTGGGGTAAAGGGACCCAGCGCCGTTACGAGGTTACAGCCCACCTGCGATATAATGATCCGCCTTGTCAACTCTTGTCTGTCCGCGTCGAAACAGCAGTGTCCGGTAGTAACATAAGAGGATCCAGTTCGCATTAGCATTGTCAAATAAAGACGGGAGCTGTTTAAGGCTCGCAACAGTATTGGCCGACAGTCACCTGTTGCGCAGGCGCCTTGTGAGAGATATATATTTGTGATCATTGTTCTGCTAAACAGATCGGTATGATTATAAAAGATAAGTCCGTCCAATGTGAATATTTACAAAATGAGGGAGCCAAATAAATATTTTTCAGTATATTTGTGGTTTTATTGTACATTTATTCTGTCTTCCCCATAAATCTCATAAAATATTACTCGTATGTTCATTCAACGCGGATTTACAGGTCTCGACGCTTTCGACGTAGGTACGCATCCATTGGACGAGAGTGTGATGTATTTGTGAATATTACTTAATCTTACCTTGATCCACTTCCGGAACACTTGTATCGTTCTCTGGATTAGTCATGTCATATTCGGTTTCGTCCCACCTCAGTAAATAAGTGAAATCTATCTCATGTTTAAGACCTACTCCTAGCGTTACATCGCAAGAGAAATTTTCTGACAAGTTCACACGGTTGCACTGGGCACAGTAAGGGTTCCGATAAAAAAACTTCTTGTTACAGTAAACATCCGTGTAGGCCAAGCACTTTCCCTCCACGTCGGTGTCTATCCAGTCCGACGCGCAAGTGCTGATAACTTGTGGACAAATTCTCATGATACTCCGGTTAAAGACCGAGAAGAACCTGTCACATCTGTAGTCACCAGGATGGACACGCGTATGTTTATTGTGTTCTTTGGGCGGATTTTCTACATCTGTTTTGAGGAAATTTGGTCTAAAGCGTGTGTCATATAGAGTCAAGTCTTCTGGATCGAAGTAGGAGTGTAGAAAGACAAATGCATTAACAGGATATCTGTAGTGGAAGTTATCGGAGTGTGTTAGATTCCATGTACTGATATTCACATCCGTTGTGCCATTTTCCCCAGAATCAACCCGTACTTCATAACCAAAGGCACCATCACCATGGCAACGGTATTCAGCAGGCCAGAGAGTGTCTGTGTCAGGGTGGAAGTCACGGTTGCACTCCGCGCAGTACATGTTTGAGTAAGTGACAAGTGTCTGACTGCTCGTCAGTGGGAAGTCGGGGTGTCCCTGGCACTTGGAACGAGTTTCATCGTCATCCCAGCTGGCAGGACATGACTTCTTCATGCTGAAGTAGGGGTCCCTTTCGCTCACGTTGAAGCAAGACTGTGGCGAGGACCCCCAGACTTGGTCCTCAGCTGCGAAGTGTTCTGAGTTCTGGCAGCAGTCTTTGTAATGGGCACACAGCGGGTCGCAGGAACAGGGGGCTCCGAAAGCCTGCCAGTACATCTCTGGGACACTGAATTCGCTTGGATAGAGTTTCCCGTTCTCTCCACATCTGCTTCTGCAAAGTAAAGTCATAAGTTACTGCGCTGTAACTGCAACATAGGTACTGTTTGTTTGTTTGTTTATTCTCTGGACAGGCATTAATCGCCTGGAAGCTGGGAGAAATAACGGAATAAGGACCTTCATTAGTTACACTTCCCGCAAAATGTTATCGTGATCAAATGAAGACGGACGCGATGGGCGAGGAATGTAGCAAGCATGAGAAGGAATTTGAATAAAGTTTCGGTGTGCATTGCAGTAACGCCCCTTAGTTGTATTCGGGAGGTTCTCAGTTCGAATATCGCCTGGAACAAAAGTCAGTTTCGTGGATTCGCTCAGCCCCTGTATGCAAATTCGGTCTAGTGTCCCTATTAGGCAACAGCCACTTTATTCCAGATCCTTTTCAACTCACGATCCTACCGTTCGACACTGTGTAATGTGAATACTGTCAGTGTTGTAAAATAGCCCGCATAGAGAAATGTCTGCTCATTTCACTGTGCGATTGTGTTGTGCAGGAAGTTTCTAACTTGAATATATCTGAATGAATTTAGGAATTCTTGCCAATGGTACGGTCCTTTCCAGTGCTTTCTCGTTTCAGTTGTACTCTTTTTGGTTTTATGTTAATGGTGAACATTTATTAATTCAGTTACATTCTGTGGCCAGGAGGGAACACGGATTTTGGATGTAACAGACAAATTCCTTGACAGTTATGCGTTCTTAGCTCACAGTTACTCAGCCCAAGCAAAATTGTCAAGATATCTTCGTCGTTATGCTGTACACAGAACTGTTCCACTGACCACCACCATGAGCCAGATAAATCTAATCTAAACACTCCCCATCCTCCTTCAGGACTCCTTCTTAATATCCTTCCATCCTTGCTTCTGTCTTCATGGTGTTCTGTTTCCTACCAAATTACCTAGCATTCACAGTTATTTCATCCTACGCATGCTACATGTCATGCCCATTTCATCATTCTTGATTTGATAATTCAAGTATTATTTGGCGAGTAGTGAAAATTATGATGGAAAAATGAATCCACAGAAGTACCGTATTTGTCTTACAAGTCACGCGGGCCCGAGTTTTAATTGACACGTTTAAAGACTTAAGCCACACAGCTTCTGTGTTTACTTTCATCTGAAGAGGTCTAAGGATGTGCTGTTCCCTCATGCGTTTTTGTCATTGTTGAACTTTGTACGGTGAACGAAAGCCGAAGACACACGAATCTGAAAATTGTGACTGTTATGTTGAACGTACCCGTTGGACTGCAGAGCATCCGCCAGTGTGAATTCGTCTGCCTCTGCTCGGTGGATCACCAGGGCAAACAAGATGGTCACTGCACTAACCGCCATATTTCTGGACTGCATCTGAAATTTTGTGGGCATAGGAAGCTCTAAAATAGTCTGTATTCTTCGAAGAATTATGTCTTCTCTCGGTATATCTACGCGGAGTCCTATGAAAGTCAACGGGCAACAAGGCGTTATACCGCTGAAGACAAAACTCTTCATAATCACCGTTATGAGGACTCCAAATCCTGCACAGCACATATCCTTTGCCTGTAACGTCTCTGACAGTGCGCCCTGCCTTGAGTAGGCTGCCTTACAGGGGGAACATGTGGTGATTTTGTCTTTATATCTTGAAAATTTGGTCACTAGTTTGTGTCTGATGATGACATAAGGACGTGTCACTGTCTGTTGATAACGCACGCTCCGAGATATTACAGGCAGAGAGGCGGACATGTTATATCTCTTTTAAATTTACCACTCCTGGCCTATTTTCCTGTCTTAAAGAGAGAATGTATGCTTGTTGTGTCTTCCATCTTCCCTGTTTGTGTCTCACTGTACCCGTTACAAACCTAAGCTTAGCTTGCCGGTTGCTTCTGCTTGTTTCATGCTTTGCTCTCTTTTTATCCTGAAGATGGAGGCGATATATCCGTCCCAACCACCGGGCTCACTCTGACTTACAGCGCATTATGAACCACAAGACTATACGCTTCACTAATTTTATAGGAATTCTAGTTCCCGACAAAACACATGCCGCTCTGGCAAATCTTAAGGGCCCTTACAGAAATATGAGATAATTTTATGTGTGTATTCATATATTTAATTTAATTTGATGTATTAACGTGTATGACTTAGGAAATAAATAAAATCGTTGCAGGATTTTGTTCAATTGTCCCATCACTTCGGCCGTGCACCTTTTGTTTGATCAGTTTGCAATCCGTTTTGTTGGTTTTTAAATAGAATTTAAAATATAAAGTTGCCCATAACCTGAGTATTTATACCGCTTTTGTACAGTGCAATGAGACCAAATGTGGATCTGGCTGTGTATCTGGAAGCAGCATGGACCATCTTCAGTTGGCGATGTAATCTCCCCACCCATTGATTGCAACGCCATTGCTGAGTTATGCCCTCGTACATGTTCTCTGTAGTTAGTTGCCTCGCGTGTGTCCCCTGTAACCATCTCTCATATTGGAGCCGCCGGCAAGTGTCGCCACTATCGTCGTTCCGTCGAACTCCTTGCAACTGGCGAGAATCGGAAACGCGTAAGAGATTTATGTAGATTATGTAGATTGCAGGTTTCTTCGCTAATTCTCGTCAAAGTATTTTACGGTTCCTGTCACAGAAGAACTCGATTGCCCTTCAAGTGTTTCATGCCTCCTTCGAAAAGTGAAATTATCGCTCCCGTTAAAGTGATTGCGCTGTCATATTTATACAGATCTTTCGAGTTCTGAAATGTAATAAATGGAAAGAATATCAATGCGTTCTTCACCAGTCTTGTTGAAAAATGAATGAGATCTTAACGAATCTCTGAACTTTCTAATAATATGAAGTTATTCTGTCTTCGCATTTCGTTCCGTTGCATGTGTCTGGTGGTTGCTAGGAGACCACGTACGATTTAATGCATAAAATGAACTACGTTCGCAATTTTTCCGTCAGTATCAACTATACATAGCTTAGTGCATAATAAAGCAGCGTGTGTTATGTTTTGGAGCCTTGTCATCACACATGTACCCACGCATCCATGCACGCATGTATTCATACGCCGTTGGATTTTAGGTTCCTTTGCGGTAACTGTCTTGTGGCTCGTGACTCCGTGTTGCCCTAGAGAAACTTGCCGGAATATCGGAGAGACCTACTGCCTCCATTGTCAGAGTTGCACAGTAATGCAAGGAAGTAACCATTGAATGTCCCATTTATTGACCGTGAAGATGGGGCAGTGGGTTCCACCCAGTTTACTTACCAATGAACTTCACTGCTACTCCCCCCGATGTCACGGCGCTCGCTGTGTCTTGAGGCGGAATTCTCTTCAGAAAGTTGCTCTCCGAGCCTCCTTCCCAGGAGAGGCTACACAGAGAACTGTGGCAGAAGAGGATCTGTCCTGTTACGCACTCTGTTTCGTGCGTCTGACAACAAGCATACGCCCAGGGTGTGGCGTAATAATTATATTAATAAGATGCAAGATTACTCAACTATTTGGAGGAAAGAATTGTCTCCATTTCGACGTTGAAGATTAATGCCGACCAATAACGAACACGATGCACGCCCTTAAGTTCCAGAATGTGACAGGCTAGCGATTGCTGTAAACACTTACTGTAGGTTTGGTTTGTTGTTCCAGGTAAGTGCCATGCCCTGTGTCCTGCAGTGTAACCAGGCCGAGCTGCGATCCCCATGTAAGTGTAACCCATGTTGAATTATTTGTTGGATAAATATGTTCACATAAATCGTACTTGTTCAGGAGACGTAACAGATTTTTTGTGTTGTCGTACTTTCACGGCTGTAAGGCCTGCTGAGGTTCTCTCTATGCCTAGGGCCCAATTGAGTAGAATCCTTCATGTCTTTACCTGATCGTAGAAATGGATCGAGGTGGCGAAACGTCACAAAAGTTAAATATATAATTTTCTCGAATTCAAGACCTAGTCCGTTCTAAGACGCGGCCATGATTTCGTTTAATGTCGTGTCATAATTGAACCGTTTCAACGACACTGTTAAGTGAACTCTGCCAACGGTTTACTGTATTATAGTTAGGCATCCTGTTGCTCTATACACTTCTATATGCAATAATACAAATGCCGTCGTGAATGCAACAATTTAGATGGACACTAACGGTGTTAGTTTCTGAAGTTCTAATTAATATGAAAGCAACTGCAACACTGAGCGTGTCCAGCAGCGAACTGAGAAGATAACGGAATATTCCACAATGCTATTTATATCCTTCCATAAACCCCTTCCTGAGTGTTGTGTTCAAGGAAGATTTAAGGCGAAAAATGAGGATAGGTGTAACGGTGAGATGTGTCGAATTCTTCTCAACGGAGAGTATCTGTTAATTTAAAAAATGTTTGGTATTCTTAGCCTCCAAGTTTCCCGTCTTACACCCTCACACCTAGCGACATTTTTTACAAGGGACATACACAGAAGTACTTGTGGAATCCCTGCGTTGCTGTGCCATGAGTACTGTTATGAACGCGAAGTATCTCCTTGTACTCTTGTCACACAATCTCAGTCTTCTGCATTGAATTTTATAACCATCGCTTGCGAGAATCACTCTGACATCGGAAATATTAAGAAGTGAAAAAGTGTGTCTTAGAACTGAAAAATATACCTTATACTCGAGCAGTGAACAGTGCCTAACTTTATGGGTATTTCGTACCGTTAGCACGGCATGAACTGGGATAGCTCACTCGGTACAGCGACTGGCTACTGCCTCGACGGCAGGGGAAAGTGTTTTTCCTGTTATTCACAGCCTACAAACTGGCTATGGAGCCACACAGCCTACTATCCAATGGATAGAAAGGGGCCCTTTCCCCGTAGGTAAAGCGGCCGGGCAGTGAAGCTGATAACTCTCTTCTAACTAGTGATTAGTTCTGGAGTGGTAGCGCTATAATATCACCTCGCCGTACGTCGGCTTGGCGCAGTGGTTAATCAATTAGGACACTAATTACCGTACTCTTAACATGACAATGTTTGGTATGCCGAATTTATTGGGGAAACTTGATTCCTGGGATTAACGTTGAAAACATATTTCGCTGTGCACATTTCCAACAATAGAACTTCGGCCACTTAATAGCGTAGGTATCACTAATTACAAATTGTTACATTTTCTGTTACTTACGGACAAATTGTTATATTTTCTGTTACTAACGGCTTCATTCCATTTGGATCCTCGTATAACATTAATAGCCCTTAATGTGAAAGTATATAATTACTTTTAGCATCAATTTTGTGCAGAAACTCTACCTTATGCAATTTAGGTACTTCGTTGTTGGATGGTAACATTGCTTGGTTGTGGAAGATGTTGACGTTTCGGAGGTACATGATGCTTCCATCTTCAGGGTCGAAATGCATGAGGTAGGCCGACTTGTATATATGCAGAATCCTTTTCCTACACAATATGGGGAGTAGTGAGAGAGGATTGTTTCCTGGTCTGGGCCAATAGGGAGATCCGGTCATTTTCATGGTTACATAGTCATCAGTTTTATATTTGCACCCCATGGCCCTTAAAATGGCCACCGTCACAACTTGCCCGGTATCCCGCTCTGTGAGGCGCGCTAGGAAGCTCTGCGGTGACGTCATGCAAGTGTCACAGAGGCTCGTGGGACTTTCTTGAAGCACGGAATAGCGTACTCGATGTGTTTAAACAGGTTGCCTCACTGTACCTCTCTTCTTGACATGGCCATGCCACTTCTGATAACTTTAACTAATTGAATAACCAACTAATTGATTCCTTGTGGCTGAGTCCTCACTGAGAAGCCATCAGTTGCTCAGCACCTACAAATTCATTTTTGGAACGCGTAAGGTTTCGACGATACATCTTAAAACTTATTTTCGAGAAAGATCCTGTTAAAGATAAGGACTTTTTTTGAATTTGTTTACAGTTGTTTTGCACATTTTATACCACCTTTTCATTATCAATTGATCGAAATGTATCGTGGTCTTAAAAGAAACAACCATTCATATATATTTTTGTGTAAACATTCAATAGGACGAAGTTGTTTTTAGAAATTTTCTGCCGAGTTCCAAACTTCCTTATGGTACTTATTTTTTTTATTTTTTATTTTTTTTACAAATGTCGCCTTATATTTTTGTGATGTGAAAACATTCTCACTCAATACAGGAAATATGTAAAAGTATATAATTTGGCATATTTACTCAAGGCAGAATTATGAAGCCTGTAGAGGCAGCCGTTGCTAGAAAAAGGCCCAGTGGCGATCAAATGGTCACCCCAACATACACGAACGCAACAGCAGTGTAAATCTGAGAAGCGGCGTTTTGTACGCTGTCCGTGCCCGGATATTGTAATCAGTTGTGAGCTGTTGCTGTTAGAATCCGGTAACTGAGGCCGGGGACCGGTCGGGAAACCAGGGGAAGGGGAACATCTGCCTTTGGAATCCGCTACCAAGCAACGGCGGTGAAGACTTGAGTGTGGACGCTGTTGTGTATGTAATAGTGAACGTCAAATTGTAGTCACGCCCTGTATCAAAGTGTCTAATAAATCCGGCCATCAGTCGAAAACCCGTCTATAGTCCCACTCCATCACGATACAACATTTAATTGTTAGCTTAAATATCTCGAAAAGTTAACAGAACCTTCGGAAAATAAATTAGTTGTATACTAGAATGGCGATAGTAGGGTTATCTTCGCTTTACCTCACGTTGTTTCAAATTGAAAGACTATTTGCCTTTTCTTGTCAGAATTTAATAATTGACGTGAAAAATTGGGTAACTTGGAAACAAACAGCAAATAAGATGCAGAACTTTAGACTACTAACATCAGTGTCCTTACATATGTCCAAGGGCAGAGATACGTGAGAAGATCTAGAAACAGACGAGAGACTAATATTAAAATTATCTAACTTCGAAATTGTCTTGTACCCCATAATACTTGAGTTGGAGTATTAATAATAATAATAATAATAATAATAATAAGAAGAAGAAGAAGAAGAAGAAATATGCAAAATAAAAATATTTTCATCAAATGGAACAACTTCAGATATTTTCTGTATCTATTTTTGCAATATCAGCTCTAGAGTATAGCCTATACCGGTCTAGAAAGCCGAAATTAACGGCCATGGGGATTCGTTGAGCTGACCACGCGACATCCTCTATCCGCTAAAGTTGACACTAACTTCACCGAGAAGCGGCGGTCGCTCGGTCGGTATAGTTAGCTTGCGGATTACAGGCCACGGAGTTTCTTTTTGTTTTGTTTGTTGTGTAACCTGTGACCGTGCACAACTGGAAGCCTCAAACAGAGCCACACTTAGGCCCGTTACATGTAACAAACACAGAGTCCAAGCCCGAACACACTGCAGGGGGAATTCCCTCGCCCCAAGTTACAAATTATGGCATAAATGTGGATATAAGGCTCTCGCAGCGAGACAGTGAAGATGTGACGCCGTGTAGACCGGCAGAAGTCCTCAGATAATTCGGAAGAATTTGCTATAGGGAACTTCAGGGTAGAAGAGTAAGTCAAGTACGCTACAAGCAGCGTGGAGATTGAGGCAGTCCTGTAGACTGCACGGCGTCAAATGCACAAGACAGCACTTTCCAGGGTCGAGGGGTGATGATGTACATAAACAGTATGCATCACTGGAAAGCAGAGAATATGAAAAAGGATGTGGGGTTCTCACTCTGTGTTTATGAAGGTTTTATTTTCTGGGTTTTAAGGCCGCATAGTCCGTTGAAAGTCAAACGACGTTTCGGAGGAACATGAATGTAGTAGCATAGCTCTGTTTCATATTTGTTTCACGTTGATTCCTTGTTTGGTTTATTCTTCGACCCTGAAGATGGAGGCGACATCCTCCTCCGAAATGTCGGTTGACTTTGAACGGCCTACGCTGCGTTATGTCCCAGCAGATAGGACTCTCCATTCAGAATTGATTGTCACTATTGTCTGGCGCCCAGTCATCTGGATCATGGTTGACAACCTGTGGCTCGCGAGATGTTAACCAGTTGCCCCGTGAGTTCTTTTTTTTTTAAGAGAAGAATGATAGAATATGCATTTGTACGGACTCCTTTAATTGATACATCCAACAAAACTCCTTTCTGTTCTACAGTAATTTTATATTTTCATATAACGAATTACTTCTTTTAAAATATGTATTTTTATCATATGAATGGGATAGTTGTGTCTGCATAGCTACGCGCTACGGGATAGACGGTCTTGGTTCGCTTCCCAGTAGGAGTAAGGGATTTATTTTACTCCAAAGCGTCCAGACCGGCACTGGGGCTCATCCAGTCTCCAATCTAATTGCTGCCCGGGCTCTTTCTTCGGTGGTAAAGCGGCCGGGGCTTGAAGCTGACCTCCAGCATCCATCTAGTGGTCGAGATCAAGAATGATGAACCTGTACCTCCACTCCGCACCTGTTCTTGGCCTTTGTTCACCTTACATTCATTACAATTTACCGTTCTCTGTTACAAATCTAGCGAGACGCAAACACAGTGAGTAGGCCGAGTTTGCTGCCAGCCTGAGGAACCTATGCACGCCTCACGGTACACCTGATAGTGTAATTTCAGATCTCAGGCTCTGCAGTAGTTGATGTGGTCTGTGACGACAGGATTCTCTTCCTGGTCAGTTCTCTCCAGACCTTCCTCTTGCAGGAGAAGAGCACAAAGATATACAGGCCTTGAAGTGAGCTCAGCAACCTGCACACATACCACGCATGCGCTGAAAAAGGTATTAATGACATCAGTATTGCACGCGGGACACGTATCATCAGGTATTGTTTTCAAGAGTTCGTTTCGTTCTGGTGTTGTTTGTTGTAGTAACTTAGTGCCGAACTCGACAGCGCGCTCATTCTTGGTTTCGGTCCCATGATAACATTTTTGTTGTTTTCAACTTGTTTTTAAATGGAGTTTCCTCTGGGCAGAATATTAATTTGCTGCTGGAAATATTTTAATAGAATTCAATGATTTTTCGGTAGGGAGCATACTTGACACTGTCAGTATCTTACACACCGTGGAATGATAGAATGTGTGTGAAACCCGGTCTCTTGGCGTTAAAGGAGGGACACAGACTGAGGGTGTTTGAGAACAGGGTGCTGAGGAGAATATTTGGATCAAGATAGATGAAGAGACAGGAGGTTGGAGAAAACTGCATAATGAGGAGCTTGATAACTTGTACTCTTCTCCAAGTATAATTAGAATGATCAAGACAAGGAGGATAAGATATGCATGGCGTGTAGCACGCATGCGGAGAAGAATTCATATAGGATTATGGTGGGAAAGCCAGAAGGAAAGGAACCACTAAGAAGGTCTAGACGTAGGTGCGGGGACATTGAAATGAATCTTAGAGAGATAAGAAGAGGCGTGGACTGGATTCATGTGGCTCAGGGTAAGGACCAGTGAATGGCTCATGTGAACACCCAGCTGCATTGAGTTGTAATTTCTGAGCACATTACAATGATATTGTTCCATGTTCTCAAGTAAGATATAATCAGTCCAGGGTGTGCATATGTGCATACATTACCTTGAATGCGAAAAATTGTGGCAACCAGGTCACCGGCCCAGGTGAGTCCCATGATGACAAAGAGTCTGACAAAGAGGCATAATTGTGTCCTTGCGGTCGACCTACTTTCCATCTTCGACTTGGTCGAGTAGACAAGACAAGCGCTCCAGATGAAGAAAGCAATGTTCAGGGTCATGAAGACGCAGAATGGGGCCGATACCAGCACGTGACTGACGAGAGGGTTGCTGAACCAACTGTTGCGCAGGAAGTTGCTATAGCGTTTGATTATGGACACGCTGAGCACGGTAATCATAGTGATGAGGACGGGCTCGACCCACCCAAACACGGAGTACACAGCGAAGCGCTTCCATTTCATACCTGTGGCAGGGGAAGTTATATGCACGGTACTGAAATCGCAGTTTGCAGGAAGTAGTTCCTTACTGGGAGATATGTACGGTATGTTTCATGTTTCCGATGTGTTGGAGGAATGTCTTTGTTTTGTTCCGTCACCACGGCAAGAAATATGGATGCAGTGTACATGGATCGGTTTCACAGCCACCACATCCAGGGAGCACGAGGAATGAGTAGACGCACTCGCATTTCCACAACCCAACAAACACATACCTACACTGCACCCACACAAGGCATTAGGAAAGCTTTCACATACACTTAGTTTTTAGTTTTAATTTTGTTAACACTTAACAATTAATGTTTCTTCTTACATGTGAATACGCGTATTTGTGTATAACAACCTTACACATAACCAAGAAGCTGGCACTCCACAATGTAAGCACTGACCCGTGTAGGAACACAGGCAGATGAACAGAGGTGAGCGCAAGAAGTACTCAAGTGCCGTTGGTGGCTCAGTGAACAGAAACATGTTTGGTGCCTCAACATTTCCTGCTGCTGTGACGGAACAATGAAACGGAAACTGGTAGCTTATACAATCTCTGTGATGCGTCAGGAATTGTGATTACATATGCAACCATCAGCATAGTAACTCCATTTTGTCAATTCAGCACTCCCTCGCCAATTGTGATAAGGTTATTTGTGTACGCTCAAAGCAAAATCGTTGTCTCCCGCAGGACAAGAGACAGTTACTGGGGGCGGGGCTGTGAGAGCGGGTTTGTACTCAATGTGGATTAAGATATAACCTTATGAGACCGAATTTCATATTATCACAGCGGTGACTATGAAGTGTAGGGAAGCTCACGTAACTGGCGTCACCTGAGACAATCGCAAGAAACTACAAAAAGCACACGCAAAGTTGAAGATTTGTACAAACATACATTTAGTATGAAGGTACTAATTGTTAAGTGAGTAGTGTGAAAAAGCATCCAAAATAATAAGACCCCTCTGTAGGAAGTGATAACTGAAGGAACACCTTTGACCGTTGTTCCTCAAATCTAAGGATTATGACGGCGATTATCTCGATATCAGGATATCACTGAAGCAAATAAGGTATTATTCGAATAAAATGTCTCTTATTAATAAGAAATAGGCATACAGCTTAGCTTGCAAAACGTGTACACCTCTGAATTTTCATACTTCAAAAAAATTCTCTGTCCTCGGATATTGGAACGTGAGGCGTTAGAACACGGGAGCGCAAAATAAACACATGCAACTCTCTCGGTAACTGCATCAGGAAGACATGGAGGAATTCGCTATTGTACTTCATTGTATCAAGCACTAGGTGGCAGCACTGGCTGAAAGCATCACAGTCCTCCCGTCCTCCGGACCTCTCTAACTCTGAACATGGGGGCAGTACGCCCCTCCGAGAAGGCGATGAAATTCTTCCGAACTCTATGACATTGCGGTCCAGAAGATAATCATAAATTTAGCGACCGCGGTTCCCCTATACACTAGTGACACATAAGGCTTAAAATTCGCCAAACGCGTTTGTTTATCTGGAAAGAACTCCTAGCCGTTTATGGATGATTACTATAATTGTGTGGTGGGAGAAGCTCTTTAAAATTTAGTTTACAAACGTATTGACGCATTTTCTGTATCAGCTCTCACCTGAAGATAACTGAAGCTTCTTTGTCGACCTCCTGATGGCATTCCACACGTCGAAGGATATGACGAGCATCCAGGAGAAGGTGGCGAGCAGGCTGCAATGCATCGCGATATCGAGCCCCACGTGCGGAATTCCGTCGAGTGCTATCCTCACCAGTAAGATAAAGTAGAAAAGCAACAGGGCCACGCAGAGCGAAGCAAGGTTCATGGCCGGAAGGTTCCTTAGCCGCGGAGTGCCTGAGGAAATCGCCAGGTGCAACACGAGGCAAGCCACCGACACAGAGAGGCCGAAAAGAGAGATGTAATTCAGGATAGAGTTCCGTTTGTCCTCTGTGTGAAAAGAAATGTGTTAATATTCTATTCATGGCCGTTGTAGGGATCAGATTGTCTCATATGCTGAAGCCCAGTAAATGAAATTTGCTCAGTGCAACGCATCTAAAGACGGAAATTTACGAAACGTATTTAAATACCGGGTGTTACACTGACAGTGCTGAAAATACTGGCCTAGAGGCAGGGCTCTAGACTTCTATTTGGAATGTGCTAGGTTGGAATTTCGGCCGGGGTGCTGGTTGCCCTGATTGAGGATTTGTGTTGTTTTTCCCAGTCCCTCCAGGCTAATTCCAGGATTCTACCATCCGAATCTGAAAAGATTCGTACTGAAAGAGCGTCATTAAATAACACAGTGAATGAAATATAGAGTGAAAAGTACTGCTTACATTTAAGCCAAAGACAAATATTAAGTTTCTGGACAGTATCTTTGGTCTTGTCTGTATCTAAAACCTCCATATTTTTTGTTTTTCAAAACAACTTTTCGGGCACTGGATTCTTTCTTCCTCTTCAGGTGAAAGAAGCAGACCTGTAGGAGTATGCATTAAGGAGCACAAATGCAACTGACACAGGATTTGCTTGAAAAATCAAAATTAGCCCAACATCCACACGGCGAAGGGCACAAAATACTCATATGCTGGAATGAAGCGAAGCTCTTGCAGATTGGGCCCAACACCACGTACAGGAATTAGATGTGTGTGGAATAACAGTTGTGAGGGTGTGAGATTTTGTGGGGTAAAGGGACCCGAAGCTGTCCCCAGCGCCGTTACGAGGTTACAGCCCACCTGCGATATAATAATCCGCCTTGTCAACTCTTATCTCTGTCCGCGTCGAAACAACATTGTCCGGTAGTAACGTAAGAGGGTCTAGTTCTCATTAGCATTGTCAAATAAAGACGGGAGCTGTTTAAGGCTCGAAACAGTATTGGCCGACAGTCACCTGTTGCGCAGGCGCCTTGTGAGATATATATATATTTGTGATCATTGTTCTGCTAAACAGATCGGTATGAGTTCTGAACCCTGCCAGCGTGTGAGTGAGGTCCTAAACATTAAGAGACGAAGTGGTCTGACAACAGTGCTATATTCTTACCAGGAAATGGGGTGCTGCAACACACGCAGACGAGGCAGGAAAATAAATGAGACTCATTATTTGCCGAACACGGAACATTCGATTACACGCGGTGTGCCATTGTAGCTACAGTAGCATATGAACTGTGTTCGATGTTTAAATTTTAAGTAAATATTTTAGCAAGTTTACGTCGATATTTTGTTTTAATGTCTTGTTTCCTGTTGATTTTTAATTGAACGCTTAATGCCCCGTTTATAATTTCGTGTATAATATTAAAACGTGTGTTTATGAAAAGTATATGATTTCAGTATATTTTTCGTTTGATTGTACATTCATTCTGCCTTCCACACTCGCGTTCCCATATCCCCATTAATTCCATACAGTATTAAGTTCGTTGAACAGGGATTTACTGGTCTCTCCTCTCTGGACGTAGGTACACATGCACTGGGCGAGAGAACGCTGTACTTGTGAAGATTAATGTTATCCTACCTTCATCCGCATCCTGAATGCTTGTATGATTCTCTAGAGGAAACACGTCATATTTGTTGCTGTTCCACTTCTGTAACCAAGAGAAGTTTGCCCTGGAACTAGCAGATTCCATTAAAAAGCATGAGAATTTGTGTTTCAAGTTGACACGGTTGCAGTGGGCACAGTAAGGGTTCCGATACAAATACTTCTTGTTACAGTAAATATCCGTGTAGGCCAAGCACTTTCCCTCCACGTCGCTCTCTGTCCAGTCCGACGCGCAAGTGCTGATAACTTGCGGACAGATTCTCATGATACTCCGGTTAAGGACCGAGAAGAACCTGTCACATCTGTAGTCACCAGGATGGACACGCGTGTGTTTATTGTGTTCTTTGGGCGGATTTTCGTCTTCCGTTTTGAGGAAATTTGGTCTAGAGCGTGGGTCATATAGAGTCAAGTCTTCTGGAACGAAGTAGGAGTGTAGAAAGACAAATGCATTAACAGGATATCTGTAGTGGAAGTTATCGGAGTGTGTTAGATTCCATGTACTGATATTCACATCCGTTGTGTCATTTTCGCCGGAATCAACACGTACTTCATAACGAAAGGCACCATCACCATGGCAACGATATTCAGCAGGCCAGAGAGTGTCTGTGTCAGGGTGGAAGTCACGGTTGCACTCCGCGCAGTACATGTTTAAGTAAGTGACAAGTGTCCAACTGCTCGTCAGGGGGAAGTCGGGGTGTCCCTGGCACTTGGAACGAGTTTCATCGTCATCCCAGCTGGCAGGACATGACTTCTTCATGCTGAAGTAGGGGTCCCTTTCGCTCACGTTGAAGCAAGACTGTGGCGAGGACCCCCAGACTTGGTCCTCAGCTGCGAAGTGTTCTGAGTTCTGGCAGCAGTCTTTGTAAGGGGCACACAGCGGGTCGCAGGAACAGGGGGCTCCGAAAGCCTGCCAGTACATCTCTGGGACACTGAATTCGCTTGGATAGAGTTTCCCGTTCTCTCCACATCTGCTTCTGCAAAGTAAAGTCATAGGTTAGTGCGCTGTAACTGCAACATAGGTACTGTTTGTTTGTTTGTTTATTCTCTGGACAGGCATTAATCGCCTGGAAGCTGGGAGAAATAACGGAATAAGGACCTTCATTAGTTACACTTCCCGCAAAATGTTATCGTGATCAAATGAAGAAGGACGCGATGGGCGAGGAATGCGTTTTTATTATTGTTGAACTTGGCATGGTGACTGTTATGTTGAACGTACCCATTGGACTGCAGAGCATCCGCCAGTGTGAATTCGTCTGCTTCTGCTCGGTGGATCAGCAGGGCTAACAAGATGGTCACTGCACCAGCCGCCATATTTCTGGACTGCATCTGGAATTTTGTGGGCATAGGAAGCTCTGAAATAGTCTGTATTCTTCGAAGTATTATGTCTTCTCTCGGCATAACTACACGGAGTCCTTTGAAAGTCAACGGGCAACAAGGCGTTATACCGCTGAAGACAAAACTCTTCATAATCACCGTTATGAGGACTCCAAATCCTGCACAGCACATATCCTTTGCCTGTAACATCTTTGACAGTGCGCCCTGCCTTGAGTAGGCTGCCTTATAAGGAGAACATGTGGTGATTTTGTCTGTCTTTGTTTCTTGAAAATTTGGTTTCTAGTATGTGTCTGATGATGATTTAACAATATCTGTTACTATCTGATGATAACTCACCCTCCGAGATATTACTCCTCACCTGGAATATCGGCTTGTTGAGTCTTCGGAAGTTCCCCATGTCATGTCTATATTTCCCCGTTACAAACCTAAGCATAGCTTGCCGGTTACTTCTGCTCGTTTCATGCTTTGCTCTCTTTTTATCCTGAAGATGGAGGCGATATATCCGTCCCAGCCACCGCGCTCGCTCTGACTTACAGTGCATTACAAACCACAAGACCATACGCTTCACTAATTTTATTGGAATTCTAGTTATTCCCGACGCAACATATGCCGCTCTGGCAAATCTTAAATGCCATTACAGAAATATGAGATAATTTTATGTGTTTATTCATATATTTAATTTAATTTGATGTATTAACATGTATGACTTAGGGAATATATGAAAATGTTACAGAATTTTGTTCAATTGTCCCACCACTTCGGCCATGCACCTTTTGTTTGATCAGTTTGCAATCCGTTTTGTTGGTTTTAAATAGAATTCAAAATATAAAGTTGTCCATAACCTGAGTATTTATACCGCTTTTGTACAGTGCAATGAGACCAAATGTGGATCTGGCTGTGTATCTGGAAACAGCATGGACCATCTTCAGTTGGCGATGTAATCTCCCCACCCATTGATTGCAACGCCATTGCTGAGTTATGCCCTCGTACATGTTCTCTGTAGTTAGTTGCTTCGCGTGTGTCCCCTGTAACCATCTCTCATATTGGAGCCGCCGGCAAGTGTCGCCACTATCGTCGTTCCGTCGAACTCCTTGCAACTGGCGAGAATCGGAAACGCGTAAGAGATTTATGTAGATTATGTAGATTGCAGGTTTCTTCGCTAATTCTCGTCAAAGTATTTTACGGTTCCTGTCACAGAAGAACTCGATTGCCCTTCAAGTGTTTCATGCCTCCTTCGAAAAGTGAAGTTATCGCTCTCGTTGAAGTGATTGCGCTGTCATATTTATACAGATCTTTCGAGTTCTGAAATGTAATAAATGGAAAGAATATCAATGCGTTCTTCACCAGTTTTATTGAAAAATGAATGAGATCTTAACGAATCTCTGAACCTTCTAATAATATGAAGTTATTCTGTCTTCGCATTTCGTTCCGTTGCATATGTCTGGTGGTTGCTAGGAGACCACGTACGATTTAATGCATAAAATGAACTACGTTCGCAATTTTTCCGTCAGTATCAACTGTATATAGCTCAGTGCATAATAAAGCAGCGTGTGTGATGTTTAGGAGCCTCGCCATCACGCATGTATTCATACGCCGTTGGATTTTAGGTTCCTTTGCGGAAACTGTCTTGTGGCTCGTGACTCCGTGTTGCCCTAGAGAAACTTGCCGGAATATCGGAGAGACCTACTGTCTCCATTGTCAGAATGGTACAGTAATGCAAGGAAGTAACCATTGAATGCCCCAGTTATTGACCGTGAAGATGGGGCAGTGGGTTCCACCCAGTTTACTTACCAATGAACTTCACTGCTACTCCCCCCGATGTCACGGCGCTCGCTGTGTCTTGAGGCGGAATTCTCTTCAGAAAGTTGCTCTCCGAGCCTCCTTCCCAGGAGAGGCTACACAGAGAACTGTGGCAGAAGAGGATCTGTCCTGTTACGCACTCTGTTTCGTGCGTCTGACAACAAGCATACGCCCAGGGTGTGGCTTAATAACCGTAACCTGTACAATAACTCCCAAATGGAACAGAGCGCGATGTGAATTTAAAACTGTTCTTGTACCAATGTAATGAAGCACCAAACCATGGTGATATGTGTATGGCGGAGTGGAGGTATAGCTCCATCTTTCTTGACCTCACCATCAGATGGAATTGAGTGTCAGCTTCACAACTCTAACAGTTTACCACCCTGAGTCCATGTTATGCCCTTAAGGTGTAAGGTCAAAATTCATATCCGTATAACACAACAAGTACACATATCATCCGAGTAAAGCACAATAGATCACTGTAGGTCCCGATGTAAGTGCCGAGAACGCCCACCCCTTATGTACATTGATTCATCATTCGAGTAGCGGAGAGTGCTATGTATATAAAGAACAATTTCTGAGTAACTGGCTTTGAAGTTAGGCAATAAAGTGCAGTTTAAATGTGAGCTGGAACAGAAGACGTTCTGAAATCTCACACTTGCATGCAAGGCACACGTAAGTGTGTGTGCACTGTGGAACACAATCGGAGAGTCGGAAAAACGCTTTATCTCATAGTGACCGAAAAAGTTGAGACAGATCACTCTAGTTCCTCTGTATCCTGATCTTTAGGTTACTTGAATGAAACAATGGCTGCATCTCGCTTCGCCGTCTTGCACGATCTGCAACTTGTGAATGTTATGTGGGCCCGTGCAGTATCTTCTGTGGAGGGTGCATTAACATTACATACCGGCAGCGTCAGGGTAGTTCCACCTTCCTGCCACGTGCTTCCTGGACGCTGCAGTGGAAAACGGGAGTATCTCCTTTCGGATCCGAAGTTCTCACGCCAGTAAGGACATTGCGCAGCATATTCTTGTAGTCTATCGACTTTTCGAAGGAAATCTTGTCTCCATCTTCAAGGTATATGTTTCAGATCGGCATCGCTACGCTGTGCGGACCATGAAAATATATCGGTACTAGTTACTGCGCTACATCAATGCCGAATGAAATGGTGCAGTGTCTTTATTAAAAGTTTACTCCATAAATTTCTCGTTTTTATGGAACGTGTGGGATCTTTACCGTATTCCCAAAGGTCCGCCGTTGTACCCCATGCACTCAGTGTGCCCTCGGTTGGTTTGGCAGATGATTTGAAAGCTGGCAGAAACGTATAGAGAACAGCGTGTACAGTGCCATTATCTAGAAACGATCGGACAGTAGTGACATCTGTCAGACAACCGTGACGGGCTCCGTCCTCCACAAGCCTCATATCCTGCTGGAGTGCTTTCAAATTGCGGCTCATGCATCCGTCCTGTAGATACGGAACTATATAGACGGTGACGTGTGTTTTCAAACTGAAATACATGCATACAGAATGTTAGTCGCAGACGCTGAAGGGTGATGCCGGTTCTGCAAGCTGTGCACGCAGGAGAGAGAGGCCACACCGCGTGGTACTGTGAGCGGTACTCAGTGCGCACAGGATAGCGAAATGTGCTGGCTCCTTTTGCTTATATACGCAGTTTGTATGGAGCTGAGCTTCGGGATGGACAACCAACATGTTTGGGTTCGATTCTCGTCATTGGTAACAGATTTTTCTGTTGAAGACTTCTATATTCTGGGATATAACGCCGTTAAGTCGGTTTAAAGTTTCGGAGGCAGGTAGCAAGCACAGACCTGCTTGCCACATGTTTCATGCTGGACTATAGCTTGACTTATTCTTCGACCCTGAAGATGGAGGACATATTTTCCTCCGAAACTTCGTATGGTTTTCAACAGGCTACACGAAGTTATGTCTCAGAATATAGAACTCTCGTGAGAACCTCACATCCCACGATTTTTATCTTCTTGACGGAGTCCGCACTAACTCTGGAGCCGACACAGCCTACTAGCTAATGGGTACTGGGGCCTCTTTCCCCGAGGTAAGTCGAATGGAAGGTGAGGAAGTTCACCCAGCTTTATAGTGTAGCGTGTAGAGCCGTTACTATGCAATGCCCACGAGATGAAAAAATATAGCCGTTTCTAGTCAACGGCTCGATAAACACATTCCCGCGGCAGTTGATACACGCCCAACAATAGAGGTTCTGTTGCAAACGGTATTTTCTACTCGGTCCGTGCAAATGGATTATAAGGAGGATAACTGAAGCAATAATAGTTCATAATCCGTGTGGAGGCGGGGTCGAATTCATCCACCGGGACCCTGCGAGTCGTAGGAGGAGACGAAAAGGGAAGTCTCAAATTTGGGATAGTAATATATGGTCTCGAGTACCAAGGGACTCGGACCCGAGAAAGACTGCGCTGGCAGGGGCCAGAAGCATATGCAAAAGACAGACCCGTCCTCTCGTCAGAGACGGCGCCGCACAAAATCAAGACCGTAAGTGTCAAACAGTAATAAATATCTGGTCATGAGCCCCAGATGGGGCTCGATACCAAGACTTACTGTCTGACTGACTGTCGATCCTTTTGAATAATACTTCATCCCGTGTGGAGGCGGGTCTACTTTCCTTTCATACTACACTGATCGCATAGAAAACAACGCCTCCAACAATTCTTCGTTGCAGCGGAAACATGTTCTCTGAGCCGTTGCCTAGCAATGATAGTGGGATACACCGACAGACACAAAAACTCTCCTTTGATAAGACACAGACCGCATAACAAAAGCCATGTCAAAGAGTGCCTCTATTGTTGCGTGTGTATTCATTACCCTCCGAAAGTATTTACCGAGCCGTTGCCTAGCAACCATCGGAGGGATGACAGGGACTTATGAAGTACGCTGGTGAGATGGGCTCAGATGTCATGACGTACATACAAAGTTTTGTAAAGATTGGTTCAGGTATTCAAAAGTTGGTAGAGGGGGATGCACACAGAGACAGACAGGAAGGTGATCTCATAAGCTTATTCAAGAATGGGGGACAGCCTCCAATTCCAACATGGAAATCATCCAGCACTTTCAATCCAAGACTCTGCGATCCATTCTGAACGCACCTTGGTACATAACTACAGGATCCATGCAGATCTACAAATGAACGCAGTGCACAGTGAAATAAAAGTTACTTAAGACAATCAGAAAACCACACCAATGCACTAGCAGTGAACCTGATAGACAATAGCAAAACTATACACAGACTGAAAGGCTACATTGTCCTAGCTCTACCAGACACACCTGAGTAAGACCCCAATACAAGACCAAAGTGAACAAAAGGAAGAGCGGGCATATGATTATCGCCACTGGGCATAACTGATTCACGAGCCAGTACTTATTGAACATATATATTTATTGCAGATTCTGCAGATTATGTATAACAAATGTGTAACAAAAATATTTGGAAGAATTTTCCCAGAAGCCAACGTGGAAACAGGAAATCAATGTCTGTTACGCCGTTGTTGCTCTCATCTGCTGATACAAATTAATGACGTAGTCACCGAGAGAGAGAGAGAGCCCCTCTCACCCCATACGTGATACTGTCACATCGAAGTAAGGTTGAGGACAGACAACGGCAGAACGTGAAGGAAATCATATACAAGGCTGTGGAATTCCTGTCACGAACTTCGTCGGCCTACCCTGGAAGAATTTGGGAAATTCCTGTTTTGAGTTTGAGATACTTAAATCAGACAGGACGCATGTGGCGGCTGCATCAAATTAACGGTACCTGTATCATCCCCAACCCCTCTTTACGTCTCTCTGTGTAAGTAATGGAACACACCGCCGCCACCCCCAACCCCCCACCATTTTCATCTCGCTTCCCGATTACTAATGAGTTGCCAGCAAAACCATTTGCACTCTGCGTACTTTCTCTCTGCATGAGATGTATTTAAAAAGAAATATTGTCTTCAATTGCAAACAAGTTAGGAAGTGAAGAATATCGTCTTCTGGGATGTGAATCTTACTCCTTCATGAGAAGCTAATAGTTTCTCAGCTATCCAGTGATTTTCTCAGAACTCTGTGAAACCCGAATATTCATTGCCGTTTTCACAGACATCCGAAACTGGCGCCTCTCCCCAACAAATCCCATTTACTTCTAAGTCTTCATAATTGTCTCTTTCTTTTAGGATTTCCTACCGCAAGTCTGTGTACACTTTTTTTCTGTCAGATGCGTTCAACTGTGAATCTCATTTACCTTGATCTGCTCATCCTAATAATGCTTGGCGAGTGCAGTTTGTGAAGCTCCTTATCATGTTATTTTCTCCAGTCTCATTTTCATCCCTCTTATTGGCAACCAATATCAAATTCATTGAAAGTGCGTGATGTGGGTCCCATGCTTACAGACAGATGTACTGTGAACCCAATGCGCAAGACGGAATTGAAACCCCTAGCAGATGTTGCCTTACCTGTTTAACGCAATTTATTGGACGAGTCCTAGCGGTTGTTTTGAGTGTGGGGTCTCTTTTAATGGAGATAAATGACTCGCTCCTAAAATCATGCGGTGATTATGATGCAGACAGACGCGGTTCCACAGGTTCTGTGTATCCGTCCTCTAAACTTACTGGGCAATAACACGCTCATCAGATTTCGGGCGCCGTTATTCGTTGAACTACATTTAAGCCGGAAATTAAATGTAGCCTTCGTGGTAGGCAGAATTTATAATCGGATTGTGGCTAAGTCTTTTTAACTTTGCGCCCACAACCTCGATTCCAAAACTAATTGTAAATACACTCATTAATAACCACGAGCTATTTTGCCAATGACCATGCAAATACGGGATATTCTAAATCATATAAAGACCAAACTATCTTGCCAGCAGGTCTATGTTGCAAATGAAAGGGGCTGCCACAGAGCCGGTTAGCGTAGCGGTAACCCTCTACACTCGCATTAAAGGGAGGAGGAGGTTCGATAAAGTTTTGACCAATGCAGTGCGGATTGTGATTGGGGGTTTCCAAAATCTTTTATTAGTCTTTTCGAAGCAAAACTTTGGATAGTATTTCGATTATGCCC